ATACTTTATATTAAAATCATATCCTCCTAATGTAATATTCCACTTCTGGAGTCTTAAGGAAATGGTGCTATTCCTTAAGACCCTTAGTAAAGATGTGAACTAGAGGTTTATGGTCAGAAATAATTGTAAATTTTGTGCCGGCGAACATAATGGCGAGAGCCTCACGCTCAATATTGGTATAATTCATTTCGGATTTTAATAAAGTTCTTGACGCAAAAGCTATAGGTTTTTCTTTACCATCTTTTTCAGTATGAAATAGTACAGCTCCTAAACCACATTTCGATGCGTCAGTGGCTATTCCTATAGATAATTCAGGGTTAAAATATGTCAAAGCAGGTGGAAGACTAATCAACTTTTTAAGATCATTAAAACTTTTAAAGGGTTCTAGGTTTCAAGCCCATTTTTTTTTGTTGACAATCTTATATATAGGATCGGCAATTTCTGCAAAATTGTTTAAAAATTTTCTATAGTAGCCAGCCATTCCCAGAAATGTTGATAATTCAGCAGCTGATTTTGGTTCTGGCATATTAATTATTGCTTCAATTTTGTCGTGATTAGCATGAATCCCCTTAGCGTCAATATCATGACCCAGGAACCTCACTTTGTTTTTAAAGAACACACTTTTATTGAAGTTAGGTATTAGCCCAAACGATGATATTCTATCAAACACTTCTTTTATGTTGTTAAGGTGGGCTTCATCGTTTTTTCCAGTTATAAGTAAATCATCAATATAAAATATGACGTCATCCATATCACCAAAAATTTGATCCATAATCTGTTGAAAAATTGCAGATGAGGTCTTAAGCCCAAAAGGAAGTCTAGTAAATTGTTAATATCCCTTGTGCATAGACATGGATAAAATATTTCTGCAACTTTTATCAATTGGTATCTGTAAGAAAGCATTTTTAAAGTCAATCTTCGTAAATTTCTTTCCTTCTGAAAGTTTAGCTATTAGATCATTGATTCGTGGTAGAGGGTATCTGTAATCTTCTAGAGATGGGTTTACAGTGTCCTTAAAATCAGCACAAAGCATAATGCTCCCATCATCTTTGTAGACAGCGGTAACAGGACTTGTCCATCGGACATCATTCACCGGCTCAATTATTTTATCATGTATCCATTTTTTAAGTTCATTGCTAACAAGATCAATTTTTGAATAAGGAATGCGTCTAGGCGGTATAATTTTAGGTTGAGCATCTCTTCTTAAATGTAACTTGACACTTGCTTTGTTGATTGGCCCATTAGTCAATTTGGATTCACATCTTTAATCAATTTTTTTATTTCATCTTCGTAATCAGTGTCATGCTATAAATTTATTTAAAATATTTTTGAAAGCATTGATCCATGTACGTCCCAACAAGGCATTTTTATTCGATTCGACAACTAACGCTTGTAAATATTTTGAGATACCATCATACTTTAACTTGAATGGTGCCGATGATCTTGATTAAATTTCCGTCATAAACGGTAAGTTGTAGCTCGGATTTTTTAACATCTCTAATACCAAGTTTTTTAGCCAGACCATGAGGTATAATAGTATGTTTGGAGCCTGTATCAACTTGCATACATGTAACAATATCGTTCACTTTTAAAGTAGTCATAAATGCGTTATCTTTGTCATTGAGCATGTCACCAGATAAGTTGTTTACATTAAAATCATTATCATCTTTGTTCTTTGTAGAGTCAACTTTCTCTTCAATAATTTCTTCAATATTCATATTATAATCATTGTTGTATTGTATTTGCTTTCTATTATTGTTGTCGATACCTCTATAATTATTTGAGTTCTTGTTATATTGTATTTGTTTTCTCTGATTATTGTCATTACCTCTATAATTATTTGAATTGTTGTAATAAGATTGGTAATTGTTACGATTTCCATCACCGTATTGGATCTGTTTTCTTTGATTATTATCATGCCATGTATTATTTCTACCATAATTAGATTGATTATTATTGTTATAGCGATAGTTATTATAGTTATTATAGTTATTATAGTTATTATAGTTTTAGTTGTTATAATTATCGTGGTATCTCGAATTATTATTACCGTAATTGTATCTAAAATTATTATTGTAATTCCTATTTCTATTTCTATTATCATAATTATTTCTAAAATTATTTCTGAAAAGGTTGCAGAAATCAAAGGCAGAAATCAAATGTTATAAACGTATATTACGTCAATTTATTGATATTTAAATTTAAAAAATATATGATCACATAATTCAAAATAGTTTCCTATATATATTGACAATTTAATTTAATGTAGTTTATAATAAATTGATCTTATTTTTTAAAGTTAAAATAAAAAATTGAACATTAGTTTATTAAGTAAATTGATTTATAAAATATAAAATTTAATATTAGTTTATAAACAAATTGATTTTTAAAATATAAAAGTTGTTTTTAACAAAAAGAAAGAAACAATTCTTATTACATTTGAAACATATTAAGTTACGCCATAAATAGCTTAAGGATGTAAAAGAAAAACAATTTTTTAAAGTTAAGATAAAATACATGAGTGTCACTGTTTAACATAACAATTTTTTAAAGTTAAGATAAAATACATGAGTGTCACTGTTTAACATTTCACACTTTTTTTTTTTATTTGCCCTCTGTCTATAATTTTGTCGTTTGTCATTCTTGCTCGTTAACCCCTTCGTTGATCTTTTTTTGTTGTACGTTTTATCTATTTAGTTCCACACACAAAAAAACTAATTTTGTTTTAATATAAGGAAGAAAAAAAATTTATTATCAAATTTAATTCATTATAAAATTTTCAAATTTTCTAGGCAACACACTATTTCTAACTGGTCTTTGAACGTTGCGATTCTGATCATTCACTTGTACATTTTGGTTTCTTGGTTCATCACCTCCCCTTCTAAAAATCAATGTATAAGGTGATGCATTATTATTAACATTCGCTTTAAAAACTGTTGCACAAAGTTCTACATTAGTTGATCTTTTTTTTATTTGGTCCAAGTGTCTTTTTATAATTTTGTTCCCAGTATCTATATCATACAACAAATTTCCGTTTTTGCGCATTATTGTACCTTTTTCCCAATTATTATCTTTAAAAGTTTTATACCATATGCTGTCTCCTATTTCTATATCCCTATCTATTGATATCTTGCGATTTAGTATATGATCTGTTTCATCCCTCGGTTTTATCAACTCCCATTTTGTCTTAATCATTCTGGAGAACATTACTTCGCTTGGTATTTTGTTGGTCGTTGCGTTGGGTGTATTACGATAATTAAAAAGAAACTTTTCTAGAGCTATGTCTACGTCTATTTTATTATTATTTTCCATATTCCTTTTCATATTCATTTTCATTGATCTAATCATACGCTCACATTGGCCATTGGACTGTTGGTGGTGAGGTGCGGTGAGTAAGTGTTCGATTTCGTGATTTTCGCAAAATTTCTTAAATAATTTACTGGTAAAGTTAGTTCCATTATCACTGACTATTCTATTAGGTATACCAAATAAACTTATTATTTTCATCAATTCTTTAATCGTTGATTCCGTAGTTGTGTTTCTCATTCTCCTAATAATAGGAAATTTGCTGAAAGCGTCAACACATACCATAAAATTATTATCTTTGAACTCTGCAAAGTCTATGTGTACGCGCTCGAATACTTTCGTTGCTGTTTCCCATGGGTTTTGAATATTATGAGGATTGTCTGCGTATTTATTGCAAGCATCGCAATTCTTTACCTCCTGATCTATTTCTGCATTTAAACCAGGCCACCACAGATACTCTCTCGCTAATGATTTTGTTTTTCCAGCACCGAGATGCCCATTATGCAACTCTTGCAAAATCTCTTTTCTCATACCTTTCGGTATTATGATCCTATTCTCTTTAAAAAGGCAACCTTTGATTAAACTCAATTCCAATACCATATTTTTATACGTTTTGTTCTTTATCTGCTCATGATTCCTTATATCGTTGATTACTTCCATTAGTTCTTGATCAATATTAGTTTCTTTAACTATTCTTTTAAAATTTATTGGTGTGTCCCAAAAATTGTAATCAATTATTTCGTCATCTAACTTTTGTACCATCTCTTCTGTATTCATTAGTGGTAATCTGGACAAACAGTCTGGTACAATATTTCGTTTCCCGGGTCTATGAACTATCGTAAAGTCATGCGCTCCCATAGCCAAGTTCCATTTTTGGAGTCGCATTGATATGGAAGAATTGTCCTTGAGTCCCTTCGTAAATATATACACGAGTGGCTTGTGGTCGGTAATTATTACAAATCTTGTGCCTATTAAATACTCCTGGAATTTTTTAACCGCGTAAATTACCGACAAAGCTTCTCTTTCGATACTGGTATAATTTAACTCTGATTTCAAGTGCTCTTGACGCGAAAGCGATGGGTTTTTCTTTGCCATCACCCTCAATATGAAATAAGACTGCGCCTAAACCTTTCTTTGAAGCATCAGTTGCAATGCCCACTGGTAGATCCGGGTTATAAAAATTTAACGTAGGCGGAGTGCTTATGAGTTTTTTTAGGTAATCAAAGCTTTCTTGATGTGTACTATCCCATTACCACTTGTCTTTATTTACTATTTTGTATAAGGGATCGGCGATGTCAGCAAAATTGCACAGAAATTTTCGATAATAGCTCGCCATCCCCAAAAAAGTTGCCAACTCTTCTTTTGTCTTAGGTTCCGGCATATTTGAAATAGCCTTTATTTTATCTGCGTTCGGATGGATTCCATTGTCGTCTATATCGTGACCTAGAAACCGTAGTTTTTTTTTAAAAAATATACTCTTTGTGAAGTTTGGTGTAAGCCCATACTTTGATATTTTGTCAAATACCATTTTTATGTTGTTCACGTGAGCTTCATCATCCTCCCCAGTAATCAATAAGTCATCAATATAAAACACGACGTCTTTCATGTTCCCGAAAATATTATCCATAGTTTGTTGGAATATTGCTGACGAAGTTTTTAATCCAAACGGAAGTCTTGTAAACCTGAAATAGCCTTTATGAGTTGAAATAGTGAGAAAATCTCTTGATTCTTTTGCCTTTCGATAACTTTGCCATAAGGTCATTGATGCGTGGAATTGGGTACTTGAAATCCTCTAACGCAGGATTAATAGTATTCTTGAAGTCAACACATAGCCGAATTGAACCATCGCTCTTGACAACAGGAGTGAGAGGACTGGCCCATCTTACCTCTTCAACAGGTTCGATTATTTTGTCGCTTATCCACTTCTGTAGTTCTTTTGTAACCAAGTCAATTCTTGAATAAGGTACACGCCTGGGAGGTATGATTTTCGGTGTAGCACCTTGTTTTAGATGTAGTTTGACATAGTTGCGTAGTATTGGTTTCTTGCTAAGTTTTGACTCGCATTGTTTGATCAGTTCTTGAATAGTATTGTCATAATCTTCTTCGACTAAGTTTACAAATCTATCTAGTATATTTCTAAAGACTGCTATCCAGGTCCTTCCTAACAGTGCAATCTTATCACTCTGGACTACATAAGCAGTTAAGATTTGACTTTTGTCTTCGAATTTTGCCTTGACTTTGGTAGTTCCTAAAACATTTATTGTGTTTCCATCATAACCAGTTAATTTAATATCTGATTTATTTAAGATTTTTACTCCAATCTTTTTCGCGATATGAATCGGTAGAATACTATACTTTGACCCGGTGTCGATCTGCATCAAAATAGGCATGTCGTTCAAATATACCGTGACCTTATAAGCATCGTTAGCTGTGTAATTATTATCGGTATCCATATTGTTTATGTCTAAATTGTCTAAATTGTATAAATTATATTCTTTTCTTTCTAGTTTGTCATTATCATCTTCTTTTATCTCTTCTATATTTACAGTGTTTACTTTATTTGTATATCGTGATTGATTATAGTCGTTGTTATGATATTTACAATTGCATACTTGATTAGTTCCTCGATTTCCAATATTATGATTATCATTATATCTTTGAATACATCTTGAATCGTTATAATGTCTGTTATATCTGTAATTATAATCATTATTAAATCTATTATTATTATAGTCATTTTTATTATAACTAGCTCTATTATCAAATCTCGAAGAATTATTGTACGATCCTGGATAGTTTGCTCTGACGTTTTAATAATTCGCGTTATAATTCTGATATCTAGGGTTGTAATTATTTCCTTGGTAACTGGGGTTATAACTATTTCCTTGATAAATATTTCTTTGAAAGTCATGGCCTCTTGCTGTCCATCGTTGTCTTTTATCGTTATTCGATCGTGGATTATGTCTATCGTCGTATCTGACCACCTGTTTGTTTTCTTCAACTTTTATGCCTCTTTGTCTTTCCAAATGTTTTACGCTTGTTTCTTCTTCAGTCTTTTCACTTAAAGAAATGTTTTCAACTTTAGCTATTATATTTTCTTTTAATTCTGTCTCCTCAAAATTATCTCTTAAACTAAAGACTTCTGCTAACGTAATATTCTCTTTCAACGTAATTTTCTGCCTGATACTTCTGCTATTTGATGAAATTTTTACTTTTTCAATGACTCTACTATCGCTTAACGAACATTCATTTTGTAAAATACATAATCTACTTACCCAATTGATGTAACTTTCATTTTTACCTTGTACAGCTGCATTGAATAATAACAATTTCGAACTTGTAGATTTCCTCGGGTGTAATAACCTAAATTTTTCAATCAATATCGATGGATTGATGAAATCGGTAGGTGAACATATCGATTTGAGCTTGATGTATTCTTCGTCTGGTAGTCTTCTTGTGGAGGATCCTGCTTTTTCGATATCAGAGATCTGAGCATCGTTGAATATGTCTTCGAAATGACTTAGAAAAACATCGCCATTACCTGTGTATGTTGGAAATTCAATATTAATATTAACGTTATTGTTTGAGGTCTGTTTCATAATTTATAATTTACAATATCCTTGAATTTTTCTATTTTATAGTATTGGATTTTATAAAAATTTTAAGAAGTTAATTTATATTTAATATTTTAGAAAATTTTAATTTAGGATGCTGCCACCATGAAAAGGTTGCAGAAATCAAAGGCAGAAATCAAATGTTATAAACGTATATTACGTCAATTTATTGATATTTAAATTTAAAAAATATATGATCACATAATTCAAAATAGTTTCCTATATATATTGACAATTTAATTTAATGTAGTTTATAATAAATTGATCTTTTTTTTAAAGTTAAAATAAAAAATTGAACATTAGTTTATTAAGTAAATTGATTTATAAAATATAAAATTTAATATTAGTTTATAAACAAATTGATTTTTAAAATATAAAAGTTGTTTTTAACAAAAAGAAAGAAACAATTCTTATTACATTTGAAATATATTAAGTTACGCCATAAATAGCTTAAGGATGTAAAAGAAAAACAATTTTTTAAAGTTAAGATAAAATACATGAGTGTCACTGTTTAACATAACAATTTTTTAAAGTTAAGATAAAATACATGAGTGTCACTGTTTAACAATTTCTAAAATTATTATCAGGTCTAAAATAATTATTGTTGTCGTTTCTATTTTTATTGTAAAAGTTTTTATCTTTATCGGTCTTTTTGTCGTTATTTATATAACTTATATTATCAACATCTGACTTATCGCTGATGCTGTCTAACTTAATCCCTAACTCCACCATCTCATTTAATGTTAAGCTAATATTTTTACAAAATTTATATTTTATTTTATCATTTAAGGTAGATGTACGTAATTTTTCTTTTAATCTACTGTCGTCCGATTTTATGCAGTTTAGATACTCTAATGTACCACAGTATGAAACTCTCAGACGAGTTCTGCTGTAATAAATTAAATTTATTAATTAAAGTGTTTTTATCTTGCACAGGTAAAAGGTAAGTTAATTTTTTAGTTACAATTTTAAGATCTAGTATGTCGGTATCAGAACAAATTGATTTAATATTGTCAAAAACCTCGTCTGATAAATTATTAAGCAAAGTATTTATTTTAATAGAGTCCGATAATGTGCTGGTCGAAAAATAACTTAATATTCTATCAAAATAAATCTCAGTAAGTGGTCCAACTAATTTAGGAATTTTGTGTATATACTCTAGTTTTATTTCCATATTTTATTAGTAAATCATATATATTAAAATTATAACATTTTGTATTTTAACATTTTATATTTTGACAAACATACAATTTAATTCGATGAATTCTGACTCATTGTACACGTAATGTTTGCCATTTAATAACTCAAAACAATTTATCATGTCTTTGAGGTTTACAAGCTCAAATAAAACATCTTCGGTACCCCGTATTCTAGAGTAGTTTACATCGCAGTTATAAGTTAAATCAAACAATATGTCGTAAATAGAAATTTCATGAGGAATGTTGAAGAGTTTAAAAGCAAACATGATAGAAATAATATCAAAAATGATTTTACCTTTTTTTTTTCTTTTTTATATAGAAATTATTTGTACCGTTTCATAATTTTTTTTATTAATCATATTTACAGAGAAAAATTTTATTTTTAAAAAAAATGAAGCGAGTTTTTTTATGCCTAACATGGAGCACCATGAAGAGAATCATGATAAACGTGCAAGTAAGTAAAAATGTATTTTATTAACTCCTTTTTCTCTTTTTACATATAGTATATATACTATATAAAATTAGAATATATATGATTAAAAAAAATAACAAAAAGTAAGGTTACGAAAAATAAAATGTAATATAAGTTGAATTACGAAAAATAAAAAGTTGAATTTGAATTTGAATTCATAACAATATTTTTACCTATTTGTTTTAAAAAAATTCATAAAAGTTCGCAAATAACGATTGACAATTGTCACTGAAATTTTATTTTAACTTCTTTACAATATATATTTTTACCTATTTGTTTTAAAAAAATTCAAAAAAGTTCACAAATAACGATTATGTCAATTGTCACTTTTCTATGGTACATCTTCACTGAAATTTTATTTTTTTACAATATATATTTTTAGCTATTTACTTTAAATTAATTCAAAAAAGTTAAAAATATAATGATTATGACAATTGTCACTCTTCTATGGTACATCTTCACTGAAATTTTATTTTAACACATTTACAATATATATATTTTTACCAATGTACTTTTTAAAAATAACGATTATGACAATTAATGTTTTTTTATGATGGTACATCTTCACTGAAATTTTATTTTTACATCTTTACAACATATATTTTCACCTAAAAAATTTAAAAAATGTTCAAAAATAACGATTATGTTATGTTTATGTATGACTTAATTTAGCCACTTTATTAGTTCTTTTAGTCGACTTAATTACTTCTTTTAGTCGACTTAATTACTTCTTTTAGTCGACTTAATTACTTCTTTTAGTCGACTTAATTAGTCGTTTTAGTCGACTAAATTAGTCGTTTTAGTCTATTAGTCGTTTTAGTCGACTATATTAGTCGTTTTAGTCGACTATATTAGTCGTTTTAGTCGACTATATTAGTCGTTTTAGTCGCCTATATTAGTCGTTTTAGTCGATTATATTAGTCGTTTTAGTCGACTTTAGACTAATTTAGTTGCTAAAGTTTTTAGTCGAATTTAAAACTATTAGTTAGTCGACTAAATTTAGTCGATTAACAACACTACTGACCAATATGAAAGTTCTACTAAAGTTGATGTAACACAATTCAAAACATTATTGGGAAATCTTTTTTAAATGGAATTTTTAAATCTAACCATCAAAATAAAAAAACAAAATATTTTTTTTCAAATATGTAAAATAAATTTATGTTTAGAACACATTAGTGTTTTATGTAATAAATGTTTTGCATGTCAAATTTAACATATTTCAATGTTCTATATTTTTTTTATGTTTGAATGTATTAGTGTAATTTTTTTTATATTGAAGAATAAAGATCCATATTATGAATTATCATGATTATATGATAAATAAGTTAATTTTTTAATTTAATATTTGAAATTTAAAAAAAGTAAACATTTTTTAGAAAATTTTGGCACAAACTATAATTATCCTCATTTAACCTAAGCTTAAGAAATAAAAATAAATAAATATTTTAACAAGTTTAAGGTTATTTCTATCTTATATCCAAATATTAAATAAAAATAATGAATATAACTGGAGATATATACATCTGAAATTGGGGTCTATTAAACCCCACGCTAGGCCTATTCAAAAATAATCGAATAATTACGAATACGAATAATAAATTATTAGTTTTATCTGAATACAAATAATCATTTATTCGATTCGAATAAAACGAATTATTCGTAATATTTAATAAATCTAACATTTGTCATTTCTATTTGTTGACCTGCCAATCTGACAGGTGATGTGTTTGTGTTTATAAAAATTCTAGCACAAATTTAAAAATTTCTAGTGAAAATTTAAATTTTTATTTGCCACATTTTTTGAATCTCACGAAAAGTTTATTTTTTGAATCTCATAATAAATTATATTAAAAATTACATAAACCAGAGGTATATAAAAATATATTACATCTCTACAAAAATTATTGTTAGCTAGCTTAATTATGTTAGAGAATGCTTCTGATGTTGAAGATGAGAATTTCCTCACAAAAGAGAGCAATCATATGGGATCAATATCAAATCCTTAAAGACGGTGAAAAGGTTGCCTGCAATCATTGCAAGAGTATTATAAAATGTAAAGGCAAAACACTCCTCTTATTAATCATTATAATAGGTTTCATTCACACCTTAGTAAAAAAAATATAATAAAATAGACATTTTTTTAAGGTCTACACCAAATTCTTCAA